GTTTTTTTTTTTGAGTTGGAGTCTCACTCTGTCACCCAGACTGGAGTGAAGTGGCCGCTCCCGGTCTGGCCACCGCAGTGTCGACCTGCTGGGCTCCAGTGATCCTTCCGCCTTAGCCTTCCAAGTAGCTGGAACTACAGGCGCACGCTACCACGCCCAGTTAATTTTTGATTTATTGTAGAGACGAGGTCTCGCCAAGTTGCCCAGGTGGGTCTCGAACCCGCGGGCTCAGGCAATCCACTCACCTTAGTCTTCCAAAGCGCGGGATTACAGGCTGAGCCACTGAGCCTGGCTTTTTAAAGATTTTTATTGATCTGACAGACCAACATGCCTTTTACATACTTTAAGTAATTCTTAGAATTGTAATAAGAAAATCTTAAACATTACAAACATTTATAATTCTAAACATGTATAATTTCCCTAACATAGAAAATTTAAAAGCTGAACACAGTGATGTGTGCTCATAGTTTCTGCTACTCAGGAGACTGAAGCAGGAAGATCACTTGAGCCAAGTAGCTCAAGGCTGCAGTGAACTATGACCACACCTGGGAATGACCACTGTACTGCATAGGACAACATAACATAGTGAGACTCCATCTTTTTTTTTTTTTTGAGTTGGAGTCTCTGTTGCTCAAGCTGGAGGGCAGTGGCATGCTCATGGCCACTGCAGCTTTGACCTGCTGGGCTCAGGTGATCCTTCCGCCTCAGTCTTCCAAGTAGCTTGAACCACAGGCATGTGCCACCACGCCTGGATAATTTTTTTAATTTACCGTAGAGACAAGGTCTCGCTAATTTGTTCTGGAAGCCCTGGGCTTCCAGAGGCAGTCCTCCGGCCTCTGCCTCCCAAAGTGCTGGGATTATAGGCATGAGCCACTGTGCCCAGCTTGAGACCCCATCTCTTAAAAATAAAATAGCATAGCAACCCACAGAATGGGAGGACATATTTGCAAAACATCATATGAAGGATTAATATGCAGAATATATACAGAATTCCTAAACCTGAACAACAAAGAACGAAATAACCTGATTCAACATAGGGCTAAGGACTTGAATGACATTTCTCCAAAGAAGATATACAAGGGGCTAATAAGTACTTCGTGAAAAAAGTTCAACATCACTAATCATTAGGAAAATGCAAATCAGAAACAATGAGACATCACCTCATACCCATTAAGATGGCTATTATAAAAAACAGAAGCCGAGCTCGGTGGCTCAGCCTGTAATCCCGCGCTTTGGGAGGCTGAGGTGAGTGGA